GTCCGTTCTATAGAAGTAATATCGACCACACATTTTTTTCTAAATTTTGCGTGTCACGGCCTGTTACTTATAGAGCGCCATGCGCTAAACTAATTAAAATTCTTATAGAATTCTCCTGAGGAAAATCCGGGACAATGACAACTCTAGTGTAAGCATAATTTGGCATCTAGCTAATTAATGTTTTCGTATTTTTACTGGTTTAAAGTTACGCAACTATTTGCTAAATAAATTTAAATTAATAAACTTATAGAAGTTAATAAGGGTTAGGTAGGAAAAGTTCATATGCTGCTATAAAATTTAAAAAATCTTATAGTCCCTATATCTGTGCCATAGACGTAGCAAAGCTAACATTAATCGACTAAAACTAATTTTTAATTCAACTTAGGGTTTATGTTTAAGGCTCTTTCAATAAAAAAGATTTTCTAAATTTGAAAATTAAAAAAACAAAAACATGTTGCGGAAGTTCATCAGGAAGATGATGATGAACCTACTACTATAAGTACTTCTGAAAGTTTATCATCATTTTCCTGATAAACTTACAGAAAAAGAAACAGCATGTCAAAATAAATATATGATAAGTGTTTCCACTAATTTTTATGTAAATATATATATATATATATATATATATATATATATATATATATATATATATATATATATATATATATATATATATATATATATATATATTTGAAATTTATTTGCCTTCAATAAAAGAAATTAAAATTACAGAACAGCTTTATAACAAATATAATCGGCAGGACTTCCAGAAGGTCATACGATCTTATTATGAAGCCCTTAACAATATTAAATACAATAACAATAAAATCAAATTAAGCAATAAAAATCGACATAAACTATATATAACTGTGCATTAAAAATATAAATATACTGGATAAATTATATGAATTATGTGAAGCAAAAAGACTAAAAACAAGAAAAAATATTTTCTGTTGAAAAGATAACTTTTTTAAATTTTCCTTTGAAAGAAGTTACCCAGTGGGCACGGACATAAAAAAGACGTCTTTTAAACGTCTTATACACGTTTTGGACGTCTTTTGAACGTTCAAAAGACGTCTTTTCTAGGTCCAGTGCCCACTGGGTAAAGTCCATTTCAATGACAAATCAAAATTTGGCAAAACTATTTTATTCCCTAAGTAAGGACCGCGATAAGAAATAATTAGTTCTTCAAATTTAGTTTGGCAGAAAAGTTGTTGTAGATTTTTTCCAATGCAAAGATTGTATTTGTTTATTGGTTTTACATTATAAAGGTTTATAAATACATCAGAAGATAAATGATTTTTACATTTAAACATGAAACATAAAATATTATAAACATTTAGTTCTTATACATTTAAGGCTTTCATTTCTCTCAGAAGTGGTTTTGAGTTTGAAAAACAATTTTCAAAATTAATTAAGCGAGCTGCGTGTTTCTGATGCTGATAAAGAGATTTAAGTTTAGTTTTGTGCGCGCTTCCCCATACAATATTTGCATAACTTAAATGGCAGTGGATAAACGAATAATTTAGTTGTTTTAATTGTTGTTTATTTAAAATATGTTGAACTTTATATATAATTCCAATACATTTAGCAACTTTCAAGGAGATTTTATCGATTTGTTGTTTCCAGGATAAGTTATCGTCTACAAGAACTCCGAGAAGTTTTGTAACTTTTTCCCTTTTTAGTATTGTATTATCAATGAAGAGGTTGGGCAGTATATTTGGTAAACATTTTTTTCTGGATGTTGGGTAAAAAAGTGTCCATTTTGTTTTATCGAAATTGAGGGACAATTTGTTTTTCTTAAACCAATATGAGATTTTATTTAATTCTTGTGTCATGTTATCAAAAAGTGTATTTATGTTTTCATAAGATTGGAATAGGTTTGTGTCATCAGCAAAAATTATACTGGTTAAGTTAGAGGCTTTGTTGAGGTCATTTATATATATTAAAAATAATAGGGGCCTAACTATGGATCCCTGTGGGACACCACATGTTACATTCATTTATAAAGGCAAAGAAGAGTCTTGGATATTAACAAACTGCTTACGATTACTAAGATAGCTTTTGAACCAGCTTAGGGATTTATGTTTAATTCCATAGAGTTCTAATTTTTTTAATAGAATGTCATGATCGATAGTATCAAAAGCTTTAGACAAATCGATGAATACTCCTAGGGTATAATGAGAATTTTTAAAAGAATCAGAAATGCTGCGTGTTAGTTGAAGTATGGCGTGTTCAGTAGAGTAGTTTCTCTGAAAGCCGAATTGATTATTATATAAAAGTTTAGTACCAATAAAATAATTGTAGACTCTGTTATACATTATTTTTTCTAGAATTTTAGAGAAAACCGGAAGAACTGAAATAGGACGATAACTTGTAATGTAACAATGGTCACCTGATTTATAAATAGGAGTATTTTTTGCTACTTTTAGAGAGTCTGGAAAAGATCCTTGAGCAATAGAAGCTTTACAAATTTTAAAGAGTATATCTTTCAAAACGTCAAAGGAGTCTATTATAACATTTCCATAGATGCAATAAGCCTCGATTGCCTTATTCCATTTTAATGATTTAAACGCTGCTCCAAATTCGCTGTATGTTAGGTTTGAAAAATTTAAAGTTAAATTAGGCGATGTTATAAACTCATTAATTGATTTGTCATTATGATAAGGAATTTTATTTGATAAGCTTGTTCCAATTGAAGAAAAAAATTTATTAAATTCAAAAGCAATTTTATTAGGGTCATTAAATAATTTGTTTTTAATTTTTATTGCATTAGGTAATATTGTACTTTTTTCATTTTTTCCCGTGATCTCTTTCATTAGTTGCCAAATACGCTTTAAATTATGTTTATGCTTTGCAAACAAGTCAGAGTAGTAATTTTTTTTGCATTTTTGCGGAGTTTTTCGAAATAATTTTTATGAATTAATTAGTTATTTTTATGATTGACTTTTATGACTTATATTTTAGATATTTAACATACAGTTTTTGTTTCACTTTCGATGATTTTTTTAGTCCTTTAGTTATCCAAGGACATGATACGTCCTTGGCGTTAAGGATTATTTCTCGAATAGGAAAGTTTGCGTCATAAATGGATTTAAATGTTTTTAAAAAAGAATCATAGGTCAGGTTTATATCATCATTGAAGTTAATATTGCTCCAGTTTTGATTCGAAATTTGTTCCTTAAAAGATTTTAAATTATTGTTACTGTATACACGCTTTTTTATAGTTGTTTTACTCAAGAGATGTATAGTTTGCATTTATACATTATACTTTATAGTTTGCATTTATACAAAAAAAAGGAAAGTGATCTGAGACATCTGTTTTAACAATACCTTTTTTAAGCAGCGTGTTAAAAAAATCATTGGTTAAAATGTTATCTATTAAGGAAGATGAATGATTTGTTATTCTTGTATGTTTATTTATTATAGGTATTGTTCCCGTTTCAAATAAGTCGTTGTAAATTTTTTTTATGTTTTGGTTTTTATTATACTCAAAACAGTCCAAATTTAAGTTCCCTATTATGTAATATTTTTTCTCTCTCTTGATTAATTTTTTCTATCAAATCGTGTTTTAAAAATTTGCTTAAGAATTCAGTTCTTCCAGTAGGAGGCCGATAACAACAGCTTAGTAGAACGTTTTTAGATTTTTTGTTTATAATTTCAATTGTTAAAATCTCTTGATCTTCATCAGAAACACTCATATCGCGTCTAACGTTGTAAAGAATATTTGCTTTTGCGTAAAAAAGTACTCCTCCTCGCTTATTAACTTTATATATATATATATATATATATATATATATATATATATATATATATATATATATATATATATATATATACATATACTTAATTTGGTATAATTATAGTTATGATAATATAATTATGAGGATAATAAATATACTTTCTCACCTAAAATGAACCAGTAGCAAAAAACCGACATGCATTTGACAGTTGTACTGGTGAAATATAGTATAACAGTTGTACTGGTGAAATATAGTGTAAAAATAACGATTCATTAGTAATTCACTAATGAAATAATTATTTTGACAAAAATTCTATTTAACTTTTTACCACATATTTACAAAATGATAATGGCGATTGGTTTTTTTAATTTCAAGTTTGCTTTCAAGACTAGTTTTACCAAACTTCAAAAAACGACTTGAAATCTTTTTCAAGTCATTTCAAGTTTGTTTCTTGCATTTCAATTTAGTCAGACTTCAGATTTAAAGTCATCCCGACGGGGATTTGTTTTTAAAAGTTACGATCTAAATGTATTTTAAATGTCTTTTAAACATTAATGTTTAAAAGACATTTAAAAGACGTTTAAAACACGTTTAGAACGTAACTTTAAAAAAAAAATGCCCGTCGGGATAACTTGAAATTTCAAGTTCGCTTCTTGCATTTGTAAAAAGATTTTTGCCTTTTTAATATAGTTTTTCAACTCTAACTTGAAAACGGCCGGTTTTCAAGTAGAACTTGAGTTCAAGTTCGCTCTTTGCATTTGCTCAAGTCAAATTTCAGACTTAAAGTATGACTTCAAATTATTTAATAGAAAATAGAATAACTTATTAAACAATACAACTAAAATAGTAAACTAAAAAAGAATATGAAAATAGAAAATAATTACTAAAATAGTTAACTTAGAAGAATAAAAACAAGTCTTTTAATAAAAATTATCTCAAAACGAATCTTAAAATTATTTAAAAGAAAAATAAAAGGCCGAGGGTGGTACAAGTCTGTTGAATATGAGTATCTCTTAGCATTATATAAACAGTTTTAGCATTATATGAACAGTTTTAGCATTATATGAACAGTTTTAGCATTATATGAACAGTTTTAGCATTTTGAGAAATAATGGATTTAGATGGTGAAGAACAACTGATTTAAAGAAGCTATGGTTAAATAAGATGGTTTTTATCAGTTTTTACTGGGTTTTAGTAGGGTTTACTTGGTTTATAATCAACGTTTATTTATCTTTTCAAAAAAAAAAACATCAAGCATTAAGAATATAAGATATTTTGAGTTTCACTAAAAAAACATCTTAAGAAAAAAAATATTTTTTAAACAACAAATATTTTTCATTTTAAAAAACTATAACAACAAACAAAATAAATAAATAAACTATAACATGTCTATTTATAGGTTGAAATGCTTAGCAGATAGGTTGAAATGATTAGCAATAAGTTGATTTAAAAAGTTCATTTTAATGCTTCATTCACGGCTTCAACTACTTTGACAAGCTCTTGCCATTGTTCCAATGTCAGTGAAATACCTAAAAAAAATGTAGGATATGATTGCATGCACATTTTGTGAATAAAAAAGGACATTATAAAATACTAGTTGACCGGACCCGTAAAAATACGGGTCTTTGTAAGTCAATACCGCACCGACATTTTCTATACTTATTTATTTATATATTCTAGCAGTTCGGACCGATAAAAAACACGTCGTCACTATACCAATCATTTCTGTACTTATCTATTCCACACCGATCATTTCTATTCTGTAATTCCTTATTTAATTCAATATTTTTTAGTAAAATAATTCATTCTAAAAGGTTGCTTAAAGGGCGAAAAAATAAAAATGCTCACCTTTTCCGCGTACGTAAAAGCTTATAAGAGATTTATAAAATAGTTTGTTTTACTCATAGGCGCATTTCGTCGACGGCTCAGTGGTTTAGTACACTATCATAAGTGTTGTTTCGGTAGGTTCAAGTCCTCCCCGAAGCGTAATAAATTTTGAATTTTTTTCAATCTTGCTGTATATATTTATAGCAAAAAATTATATATATATAAAAAAAAAACTTCTAATTGTTAAAATAATAATTCAAAGTTTTCTAGTATGATACACACGATCGTTATATACGCCCGGCAAACTCAACTTAGGCTATAGATGTTTACAGACGTTTGCACCTAACGCTATATAAATGGCAGAACTATGAAGATGACGTAATTTTAGCAAACAAAAATTATCTAGAGAGGGGAGAGTCATGACAAATCCAAAATCGAAGTTTCAAATAAGACGATATGTCAAACATGTCGTTAAGATAAGTTTGATAAGACATGTCGATAAGACATGTATATAAACATGTTGATAAGACATGTTTAATATTTTTTCAATCTCGTAAATTTTTTAAATACAATTACATAAATACAAAAATTCAAAACAAAACAGTTTAAGCAAAACAGACTTGTAATTATTAGAAAAGTTTTCTTATATCCTGTATAAAACTATATAAAAGTAGAAATTTTACATTTGCATATAACATATTTTGTTTATTGCTATATTATGTTACATTAGATGCTACGAAATAAAGCTGCACTTATTTAGAGAATCCGCCTCAAAAGTGTCAATTCATTGCAAAGTTAATTCTTTTTTTGTATTATATGCATAAATTCGATAGATCAGTGGTATAATCCACTGCCATTTGCGTCGCTTTGCGGGGGTTCAAAACCAGTGGCGTAACTAAAGGGGTACGGGCCGCACCGGATTACATCATCACGACCTGACACAGAGGTGTGACACCAAAATGAAAAAAATGCAAATATGAAAGAACTAATCATTCTGGTGTTAATTTGTTTTAGCGTTCGGCCGAACCAATAGTTTACAGGCTTTGATTTTTCGATATTCTTTATTAATAACTATTTATTTATTTTACAAAAAAAATCTTTCACCTTTTTATTCAAGACCAAAAGACTATATTTTCCAAGCACCAACTTTTTTATTAAAGGAGCTTTTTATCAAAAAAAATTCTTAATTGTTAAAAGAAAATTTTAAAGTTTTTTTTAGGTACAGGCTTTCGTTTTCTTTATTACCTCCACAATAGCACCTTCTGGAGTAGCATAAATTTCCTATTAATTTTTTTCTAAGTTGCAGACCACAATTTTTTTTCAGATCATCCTATAAGGGCTAATTTCCTGGGCACATTAACAACATATCTCAATCATGACGCATGCGCAACAAATTTCTTTCGGTGTTTTAGTTATAGAATTTTTATATTTAATAAAAATTCTCTTGCTTTAGTTTGTTATAGTGTATAATATCTTGACATATATTTAGAAAACCCGCTTAAAAAGTGTTGATTAATTGCAATCGCTATAAGAGTTTATAAAATGGCTTCTTTTTCTATTACATGCATAAACTCGATAGATCAGTGGTTTAATGCGGTGTCATCTGTGTCGTCTTATTAAATCTTTATTATGACCGTCTTATTAAATCTTTTTAATAAGTTTCAGACCAAAATTTTTTTCAGACCATCCGCAGCTTATAAGGACTAATAACCTGACCATATTATTAACATAAGTATCTCTATCACGACATACATGCTCAACAAATTTCTCACGGTATTTTGATGTTTTTAAAAATTTTAAGCTTATTTAAAAACTTTCTCCCTTTCGATTGTTATGGTGTATAACATCTTTACATATGTTATGTTTGAAATATCTATATAATTTCAAAAATGTTTTATTTTGTATTTCAGAAAAATCGAAAAAGATTTGAAAAAAAAAAGAAAGAAAAAAAAGGATTCGAACCACGACTTGACAAACTCAGTGAGCTAACCACTCGGTTACGCACACATTGTTTGGCAAAAATTTGTCAAACTATATAAGATATAAAAGACTTTATAAAACAGAAATAAATGGTATAGATCAACTTTAAGGAGATGCTGCCGCAATGCAGTTTTCAAATGAAAGTAAAACTGTAAAACTTGATATATGTTTTAGTATGTTTTAACATTATATATTTTGAGGTTTACGTAAGTTAGATATTTGCATACACTTTCGTTCACATTTTCTTAAAAGAAAAAGATTGCAATGATTGCAACAACTGCCAAATGTTCCACGCTCAAACGGGCACTACTAACACTATTAAGTTTCGCAATAATATATAGAGATTACAAATTAAAATTGAATATTTTAGTTTTACTTTAAAAAATATTTATTAAATTTTTATTATAGTTAAACTATTTGCATCATAAGAACATATAAGTATAATTCGAAAATATGATTTGGTACGAAAATATAACGCTTTTATCCCCTTACGTCCTGCTGCTCGTTATCAATTTATTTTTAAATTATATACTTTTTCATTTTTTTTTTTGATGAGCTTTCAATTGATGCATAAATGTCAGTTTAAAAAAAAAAAAAAAAAAAAAATATGTTGCTATGAACATGATCAAGTTACCATGGAGACAGGAGGAGCTATTTTGGAAGTGGATCTGAGTTTAAAAATGAGTATTTCAATACTATCAACATGTAGACCAAGTTTCATGCTTTTACCCAGAATAGCACAAAAGCATACGAACTTGTCACTAATTGACTGTCACTAATTGACATAATGAAGTCAATTGACTGTCACTAATTGACATAAACTTGTCACTAATTGACATAATGTAGTGTGTAACCAGGGTTGTAATTTTTCACAACAACTAGGTTTATTTTCAGAAATTAGTTTATGATTAACTTTATAGAATGCTTTAGCAAAGTCAAACGAACAACTAAAGCATTCTACAAGCATATACAATTGTCAGCATAGAGTGTCAATGATTAAATACTTTTATTTATTTGTGATTGTTTTTATTTTTTTTGTGAATCCATGTTGTTTATTAACTATGTTTTTGTAAACCCATGTTTTTAACAAACTTTAAGTTATTTGAGTTGTATTTAATAAAAAAAAAAAAAAAAAAAAAAAAAAATTATATCAATAGAAATTTATTAAATATATTTAAAGTTAATTTACCTTTTTTTCCTGGCTTTTCTTCTCCTGAATTTTTGTCTGTGTAATATTCTCTAATACTAATTAATTTTTTGCCTCGAAATTCATCCACTGTTACTCTTCGTTGTTTTGAAAGCTTATTTACAAAGGAAAATAAATAATTAAATGCTATAAATTTTCTTTACAATACAAACAAAATTTAAACTATTATATTCTTTACATTTATTAAAATTAAATTATTATATTATTAAACTATATATTATTTACAACCTTTAAAAAAATAGCCAAACTTAAAAAATAACTTACTGGCCAAGATTTTGTGTTTTCTGATTTAACATCATTTGATTTAGCATCATTTGATTTTACCTCTTTTACTACTTTTCGTTTCTAAGGAAAAATAAATTTATCAAGTATAAAAAACATCAAACAAAACATTACTTATTACCTGTTAACAAAAACTCGTTAAATTTAATATGATCAACTTTAAATCTTCAACTTCAAAAAAATTGTTTTGTTAATTAAGGTTCTTTAAGAAGTTTCTATCTTCTTGTCATAGCACAGAGGAAAAGCTTTTGTTTATGACGGTTGCACTTTCTTACTGATGTCGCAAATATGGCTAGAGCTGGAATTGAACTGTGGACCTCTCAATTCTGAATCAAGCGTTCTAACCTCTGCAAGGCAGCTGCAGACATACATCTACTACTGCAGATTTAGTACTATTATATATTATGTATTGTACTGTACTATTATATATTGATCAAATTAACCTAGACAGTTATTCATACATAGGAAAAAAAACATTTATATATAAATTAATAGAAAATCACTTGATAGATTTTTTAATTGTATACTGTATTTCATCAATAAAGCTTCATCAGAAATCCGTTTTGATGAGTCTTTATTGATGAAACAGTGTAAAATGGAAAGGTTAAAAACTGAATTTCTACTAATTTATTATTGCTCTGTTCTTTTAAGAACATTGAGCACTCTATTTTTTAAAATACATTTAAAATTATTTTTATATATAGATAGACAGATAGATATATAGATAGATATGTATGATTGTATGTATATACAATACAATCATACAAATTTTATTGATTTACCTTGGTTTTCTTGTTTTCCCCATCAGAACTGTCTGTATCTGAGTCTACAAATTCTTTACTGACAACACGAGATTTGGACATTTTTTTAACTTTATTAGCAACTGGTAAAATTAACAGAGAAAAATATAAAGCAAAAAAAGAAATAAAAAAGTAAAATAAAAATAATATGTGAGCAATTAACAAAAAAGAGAAGATAATTAGAAATGAAGATAAGTAAAAAAGTTCAGGAAAATCATTTCAAAAAAAAATTATCTAGCCAATAATTCTTAGAATTAAAAACAACAAAATAAACTTAAATATTAAATATTTATTAAAATCATATATTTCAGCTTTGCAGTAAAAAAATAGTTTAAAAGATACTGATTATTTATTAAATAACTTATTAAACCTTCAAAAAGCAAAAATTTTAATCCAGTCAATCTTAGTAACCTGCAAGTAAAGTGGATTTTTGTAAATGTTTGTCTGGTATTTTTTATTAAAAAAAAACAACAACAACAATGAAAGTTAACAAAAAACTGTTTCAATATTCTAATCAAAGAATTATTTAATAAACCATTTATAAATACAGTTTATACATAAATTTGTTTAAGAAAAAAAAAATTTCCAAACATTTCTCTGAAAAATGTCTCGTTATAAAATCTGAAAAAATAAAAAATTTCATAAAGTAAACTAAGAGTCAATTTAGAGAAATAAAAAATTTAATTTGGTTGATCACCAAAACTATTACTTTATAATTGTCTTTTTTCAAGTGTTCTGTCATTTTACCTTCATTTCTTTTTAAGTTCAGTAAATTTGACATCATTAATATGATTCATTAATATGAAAGAAGAGACTTAAATTCATTTAAACAAGCTTCAACTTCTATCCCAAACAATGCATCACTACCATGATCATCACTTTTGAAATAAATTAATGCATCACTATCATGATCATCACTTTTGAAATAAATTAAACCAAATTGCAACTAAAAGAAGAACTTAATTTTAAATACTAACAATAACATCAAAAATACAACAAATAACATACAAAAAAAAATAAATAATAAAAAAAAAAAAAATGCTGCATATGATAAGAGGTTTTTTAACAAATGATTTTATTACATATATTTATCTTTTAATATCCAATTAATGAATGTAAAATGAAAAAAAAAATTTTTTAGATACCAAAATTATAATTCCATTAAACAATGAAAAGCTACCGAAGATTTCCCATATTTAGTTCTGCCATTTTGCCATCTTTGTTTATTGACATTGGTACTACAACATTCATACTCTGTAACTTTTCAATCATATTAACAAGTTTATTAGCTTCTGCTTCTTTTTCTGAATCAGAAAGTTTACTAAAGTCTTGATCATCACTTAAATCAGGTCGAGTTGCACCTAAAGTAAAAATAACTTTATATAAAATCAATAACATAAATATTTAAGAGAATTGTATAAAAAATTAATAACAAATAATATTAAGAAAATTGCATATCAATTTATAAAAACAATATTTATAAAAAATAATGTTAATAACAAACAAAAATAAGAAATAATACTAAAAAAAACTGTATATGAAATAAATAAAATAAAAATGCATGATCTAAAAAAATGGATTTAAAAGATACACACCAGTCATTATATCCACTTCATCCTCGTCATCAAAATCAGATAGTTCATCCTCAGAGTATTCACCCTCTACTTTACCGAAACCTGGAGCCAGAAGACCACGAGAAGCAAGATAGCCCGCACTATTACCATAGCCTGCATATCGAATCAATCTAACATTGTTTTCTTTACACAAAACAAACAAAAAGTCAGCTGCCATATTCTATAAATATAAATGTTTTAAATTAAATGATATATAAATCAATTTTGCTATACCACAACTTTAAAAATTTATTTAAATGTAACAAAATTTTTAGTGCTAGTAACTTGCAACTGTTAAAGTTAAAAGTCCATATGAAATATGCAGTAAAAACAAATGCTTTAAAAACAAATTTTTCAACAAAAAATTATTATGCTTTATTATTAAACAATCGAACATAAAAGTTTTTTCACTTTTTTATGAATTTTATACTGCCAAAATATTAGGTACAAAAAAATATGCCATTTTTGGTAAAATATTTATCAATAATAATAAATAGATGATCAATATATACTTTAAAATAATTATTATAAAAAACATTTGACACTTCATTTTCAATAAATTTAATATGTAAAAAACTTGAGTTTTAATCTAATTTTAAATATCCAACAATAATTCTGTAATTTTTTCAAATTTGATAGGAAAAATGAAAATGAAAACAAAATAAAAAATTACCTAAATTACCAGTTACAGTTAAATAAAATTAAAAAAAAAAAAAAAGATTAAATTAGACAACAATTTTCAACACAAAATGTAAATAAAAAATTATTTGACTTACTTTAAGAGGCACGTTAAAGGTTGTCATCAGTGCCACGATTCTACCTCGCAAATCTTTATTTTGTTCTGGTCGTATGTCAGATACTTTTAGGGGAGGTAGAACAAGTTTTTTTAAGTATTTGCGTATTATAGGATTTATTCTGCAAATATAACAGAATGCTGTAAAAATTGGCAATGATTTATCACACATTGTTTTATAATTTTTAAGTTGAATGCGCGAATCAAGAGTGTTTAGAAGAACAAAAATAACTTCCATATTGTATTTCTATAAATAGATTTTAAAAGCTTAGGTTGTTACAAAATTAACTTTAAATAATAAATCTTATTAAAAAAAAAAAAATTTAATATGTTCATAAAAAATGTTAAATTTTTTTTGTAATTTATAGGACTATGTAACTTTATTTTGTCCAAAAACCTTTTACATTCTTTTTAGGTTGTTTTTCTTAAACATTTTTATTTCTCAAAATTTTGAACAAAATGTTCTTAAGTTATCAAAATTAAATTTAAGGACATAGCTTCACACTAAAATATAAAATAAAAAAATTAAGGACATAGCTTCACACTAAAAAAAAAAAAAAAAATTAAACTTAAAACATAGCTTTACACTAAAAGAAAAAAGATTTTTGAGACTTTATGCATGTCACTTTGATTCATTTGTGTGTTACATTTTTTTAATGAAAATTTTATAATTTTTTTTTGTGTATAAAAATTGAATAATTTCAAAAAGATGTTTTTAGTTTATTTTTTTATTTTACATGAGAAATAAGAAAAAGAACATTTAAGTATTAAATTTAAAAAAATGTGCCTTGTTTGACATTTAACAGGTAAAATTATGATTAAAATTGCCCCATTATCTGTTTTAACTAAGAGTTTGTTATTTCAAATCAGTTCCAACTGCTTTTTTAAAATATTTTTTTTAAAACACAACATTTCTTCACAATTTTCAAAAGTTTTAAAATTTTTAAGGTTTTAAAATTTGTAACATGGTGAAATTTAAATATAATTTGCTCTAAATTTAATACATCAACTGGAGAATTTTCTTGATTTTTCTAAATTTAAATTAACATAACCTATCATTCAAAATTTCACATACCACCATATTGATTCCCAAATTTGATTGAAATAAAATAAAATATTTTGATTCAAATGAACCTGTTTTTGATAACATAATTTTCTAATTTGAAAACATAAGTTAATCAGGTGTCTCGTTTGTTAATTCCTTCCATCTGTTTACTTCTTCTACCTGATTGACAGATCTAAAGACTGCAATTTTAAACTTAAAAAAAAAGAGACAATGCGAGACTAATATTCCACAACCTTTGCACAACTCAAACATTTTAAAGCATTTATGAGACAGTAATTCTGTGTGATGACAAGTCAGTTAGGATTTAGTAAGTTTTGGATCTCTATTTTTATGTGAGAAAAAAATTTTCGCTTTGGCATCTCAAAAATATTTTATATAGTCAATAAATCACAAACAAATACATAAATAAATTTAGTCTTACTGACACAAAGCAACATTATGCAAATTATGGTTTTAAAATGATGATTTTTGTTTGTTTGTATCAATTTTTTTTTAATGTTGCTTTGTGTCAGTAAGACTAAATTTATTTATGTATTTGTTTGTGATTTATTGACTATATAAAATATTTTTATATAGTCTAACACTACACCACTACCGCATGAAATATTTCATGCGGTAGTGGTGTAGTGTTAGACTATATAAAAATATTTTATATAGTCAATAAATCACAAACAAATACATAAATAAATTCAGTCTTACTGACACAAAGCAACATTATGCAAATTATGATTTTAAAATGATGATTTTTGTTTGTTTGTATCAAATTTTTTTTATTTTTTATTTTAATTCACCTTTTTTATTTAAATTCACCAAATAAAAAAGGTATAGTTAATAGTGAAATATTATCAAATACTTCACTATTAACTATTCCTTTGTCATTTTCAATCTGGAAGACATTTTTTGAATAAGTTATTTTTGCAATAAGTTTTTTTGACATGACATTCTACATGAAGCACTTTTTTCCAAGCTGTACTAACTATTGTTGCCTGTCATTATGCCAGTTATACTCTCTCAAAATAGGTATGTAAATGATCAAACAACACCTGAAGGTTCTGCCTAAAAACTCTAGGTGCAATTTAATTTTCTGCTCCAGGGTAAAAAACTTATATTTTCACAGTGGCAGCTTGCTTTGCTATATTCATTAATATATACTTTCTAAATTATTAATGTATTTTGTTTACTTTATCTATTTTAAAGTAGAAGAAAAATAACTTTTGTTTGTACAAAGACAAAAAAAAAAAACGATTTATAGTGACATCTTTAGTAACCTTTAAAGAAAATTTAAATAAAATAAATGTGTTAGATGCAAATAAAAAATCAGTGACACTTAATTTGCATTAGAATTATTAGAGTCTTATAATTTTATATTTAAGAGCTTGTTAATACCTTACAAAACATAACCACATGTTAACGCATAACCACTGTTATGCATTAACATGTTTTGGAAGGTATTAACATGTGTTAACCAATGTTAACGCATAACTTAGCATAATATAGTTTTTTACAAAGTCTCTGCACAAAAATTCCTTACAAATATATTTTAATATTACAATCAATACATATTATACTTACACAAAACACTTTTTCAGGAGCAGTTTTTTTAGTAGCAGAATAATAAAGATGACATAATGACTGTTGCGGCATATTTACCAACAAATGCACAGAGTGTGACAAAAGATCAACAGTGTCATCATATAAAGCTGGTGGAAACTTGGTAAATAGATTACAAAGCAGCGTAACAAGATCAGAACAGGCATTAATTATTTTTTCTGTCGCAGAACGTGTTAGTTTACAAGTTACATTAAAGAGAGCTTTGAAAATTTCTGCAAGAACATTTTGACATGCTATATCTAAGCTACTATAGAACAAAGAAATGTGAAAAAAATGTGATTAAGACAAAATAAAAATAAAAAACTGCTAATTAATCAAATTGTTACCTTTTATCTCCATCAAACACTTGATTACCAATTGCACATAGAACATTAATAATGTTATGTTCTAACATGGTTACACGTTCATTTGGCTCTAAAGCTGACATCAAAAACAGAATGCGAACATAATAAAAAGTCAATGGACATAAAAAACTGCACTTTGAAGTATCTTCAATTACTCTTTGAGATAACTGATGAGCTACAAAAAAACTACGAACAATGTTGCTATGGTAAACCCAATTACACAGGCATTTTAAAACTTCTACCTTTCCAGATTCTATTAACTCTGGTGAGTTTAATGATTCTATGCATATTTCTAAATATGACTCAACATTATTTAATGTGGTTACAATTGTCTTATCTCTACTTAGCAAGCGCAAAACCTCTAAAGATATCGGCATAAACCGATGGCGAGAAGAAATAAATGTAAACAAATGACAAATAACTTTATCATATACTTCACAAGGATAATCAGTAAATGTAAATGAATTCTCATTGTTTTTTATAAAACATATTAAACTTTTTTCACACACAGCTGCATGCTCTTCTGACTGTTTATTTTCCGAAAAATTTGAGAGAGCATCAAGTAATTCCATTATGCAAAAATTATTTCTAAAAAAGAAAGAACAAAAATAAAAGTTTTATAAACAAAATTTATATTACAATTTTTTTATTTTTATCATTTGTGCCCCTCCCTAAGGTAAAATGAGCCATTACAGCCAAAGAAACTTCTTTTTTAATACAAACATTTTTTAATCTTTTAACTCCAAAAAAACAAACCTCAAAATACAAGAATACACTAAGAAAAAAGTTTATTTTGTATTAGAGACATGGTGAGAAATTTCTCGCTTATTACAAACAAGAGAAAGTTAGATGCTCAACAGCTATACCACAACTACATTAATCTCAACAATCTAATACTTACAAATTGATAGAAGCTATCTAATATCAATTAAATAATATAAACATATGTAGTTGTAGATTTGTTATAATTAAGTTTGCTGCAGTAATGCAATGAACTCAGGTGCAAATAACTCACAAAGTTAAAAAAAAAAAATACTTATTATTTATTAATAATTTTTTTTTCAATGATAAACCCTCTCATGTTAGTAAAACTAAATGAGTTAAAAAGAGTGAATGTGAAAAGACCATACACATGCAAGCGAGAACATGAGAGCATACACATCTAAAGCTAAAAAGTTTTTATAGATCTAGCTTGAAGTTAGAGCCAAAGGGCTCTAACTTCATCTATTGTCAATTTCAATTAGTTAAAAATAAAAAATTTTCGATTAAAAATAAAAAATTTTGGTTAAAAAATCGTATTTTTAATTATTATAAAAAAATTAGTAAATCAGTTAGTAAACAAACGCAAAAAAAAACATTTTTATAACTATTATTTTTAAAAACACACTTTACTAACTGGTTCAACAAACATTAAAAAATTATTTAACATAGTAAAACAATTAAAATATACTTTTTCATATGCATACAGATTTGAGAAAAATATTAAAAAAAAAACAAACTTACATATTCTAAAACTCTTATCATAATAAATTGAAATAATACAAATATATACAACACAAATTTTATAAAAAATAATTTAATTCAATTTCCAACATAAGCACATATATGGTAAGAAAATTTAAATCAATCACTTTCAGTAGTTTAAAAAATCAATCAGAGATATTGTGGAAAAATTAAAGTAAACAAAATAATATTAACTGCTATATTTGAATAACTGCTTACAATTAAAATTATTATTATAACCCAAACAAAAATAATAAAAAATGCTAAAAACCTGTATACCTAAAACATTTTCTGATTTATTTTTGTTATTTAATTACAATTTTTTTTATTAATAAAACTATTTAGCATATGAAACAAGTTACAATATAAAAAATATATATAAAACAAAAAAAGTTACAATATGACATAAAACAAAAACAAACATAAACAAAAAAATAGTAGTAAAATTATCAGATATATATATATATATATATATATATATATATATATATATATATATATATATATATATATATATATATATATAAGCCAACAATTTAGAAATTCGTGGTTATTAAATTGATACATTTAGCATACTTATCACAAATTTATATCAGACAACATATATATTTATTGCAACATAATTATACAGAATTAAATTAATATTGTAACATAGTTTTATTGTATTAAAACTGTAATGTAACAAAATTAGTTTTATGAAAATATAAAAAATTTTATACAGTATTTATGCTATATAATTATAACTTTCATAGCGTAATATGAAAAAATTGTGTTCTCGTGTGAATAGGTAATTTATTTTTTCTTGCACATAATTTATAATTGCACAACAAGCAAAACATGTTGCACAATAAGCTTCTTCTTAAAGATCACCATCATTGATATGATTAACAGTTGTTTTTGCTTTTGTTGTTAACTAAAAATTTAAATAGAGAATAAAACTTAAATTAAATATTTATATAATATTTCTTTTAATAATTTAATTGAAAATAAATAACCATGGTTAAGATTAGTAAAGCAAAGGAGCTTTATACTAATTAATGAGTAAGACACAAGAAGTTGTACAAATTTTTACTTTTATTACTACAGTAGAATCCCATTAACTCATACTCTGGATAAGTCTGACTTTTACTAAGTTGGACAGATTTTCAATTTCTCTTAAACTTTCTTTATCAACTTACAAAAAAATCATCTGCTTTAGTCATACGTTGGTTAAGTCGGACCATTTGCTAACTTGCACTGTTTTATGGTGTCTCTTCAGCAAAAAACTTTGTTTATTTTGAATTACATGCAAGTGCACATATTAACAAAACTTTCAATACTTCAATAAAAATTCTAAACTTTGAACACTCAAAGAAAAATTACCTTTGCAAAAAAAAATTACTAAACATAATTAAACATTTTCAAAGATATCTTCAATTCAGTTAAGCTTTGATCAAATTCTATTTATTAATGACTATTATACTAAAAAATCAAAAATATTAATTAAAGTTCTAAACTTAGAACGTTCAAAAATTAAATTTCTTTGCGCCAAATATAATTTAACAAACTAAACATTTTCACTGATATCTTCGATTCACTTAATCGTCAATTAAATTTTATTTACTAAAAATGTCAAAGGTCACTAAAAGAAAGCTAACAAGTAGAATTATAGCAGAAAAATGCATAACACTAAGAAAACTCGACAAATGAGAATCATCTGTATCTATATAAAAAAATATGGCTTTTCAGAGTGAACTTGGTCTGGATGGTCAAAAGAAAAAAATACAATATATCATAAAATAATCTCTATATACATAATATAATCTCAATACGCCAGACATTTTCAAAAAGTGTGACATAATAAAAGCTTTGCTTAACTCATACATTTGCTAAAAAGAACAATATATATATACTCCTTCAGAGTCTGAATTGACATGATTCTACTGTAGAAATGTATAAATAAAAACAATTTTTTACCATAGATGAGTACAGAATAAACTACCTTGCTTTTGGTACTGCTTTCAGAAGCAGAGGTGTTATTTAAAATTGGGCTTCCAGAATAATCCTAAGAAATACAAGTAATAAAACTAAAATTGACATTTACTTTTAACTAAAGTATTACTATTTCAGTATTATAGTAGTTCAGTGTTGCAAATACAGTTATTATGCAAAACAATATATAGTACAGTATAAAATATCTATAATATATAGTACAGTATTACAATTATATGACTCTATTATATACTCTTTAAAATATTTTATCTTTATTTCTACTCTCAAAAAGTTATAATAATGTAGCAAAAAAAAAAAAACTTTACTAAAACGAACAATTTAAGAATTTTTTTTTTAAATAAATTAATAACAGTACAGTGTTTGAAAAAAACAACATGTTGTGCAAAAAAGTATTAAGTGTGCAAAATTCAGAGCTAGTATTATTCATAAACTATGTTTTCATACGAAATGTGTCATCATATATATTACTTTAACTGTGCTTTAAAACTTTAAAATTGTATGGTTTTATATATTCATAAATTTCAATAATTAATTAATCTATTGGTATCGAAATTGGTCACAAATGTGCAATCGGTACATCACAATTAAAAATACAATGCATATTGTAAAGTAAATTTTAATTTTAAAAAGTTTTTAAATAAAAATATAAAGTTTAAATAGCTTTTTAAAAACTACTAAAGCTCTTTAGTTTTTAAATATGTTTTTTAATGAAATTCTTGAAAAAAAATTTTTTTAAAGCTTTGACATTTTTTTTAATATCAAAACACTTAAAAAATCAAATATCAATTGAATAATATTTTGCAGAAATTGATTATAAGAATGCACAGATTTAAATTTGCTACTGTTATAAAAGCAAAACAAGAATACTTAAAAGAATTAAAAATGAAAAAAAAATTCTGTAAGATTTTTTTTAAATGTCACCCTATTTTGTTGAAAGAATGATTATTTTAATGTAAATAATACAAGAAATTAACAATGATTGGAAAAATCTAGATTTGATAAAAAAATAATTAAAAAAGATACTACAAGATCTTTGTAAACATTATCTCACTTTGTTAAAAGAATAATAATTTTATTGTAAACAAAATAGATAAATACCTACGATAAGAAAAATATTATTTTGCATATTATTAAATTTATTAATCATATGCAAAATCCAAACTTTTGACCTGTAGTGCACATATATTAATTGTATTTTAACATGACTTACCAACATTTAAATTTAAAAAAGACAAACGATTAAAATAGTGTAAAGAATTTACCTTTTTACACCAACTCAACTCAGTAGCAATACGCTTGCAACAATCCTCTATGTACTTATACTAAAAATATTGTTATTTAAATTTCAAAAATTAAAAAAAAGAATAGATTACACTCAACAAAATTTCAATAGTTAAAAAAAACATTACCTTTAACCTATTATAATTTATGAAATGTATAAAATAAAACAATAATTAAATGGGTGATAAATAATTCTTCTTTTTTTATTAAAAGATAAAATGATTATATGATTGACAGAAAAAAATTTTTAAATTAAAAATAAGAAAAATAAAAGCTTAAAGTTTAACTAAAACATACATATAATGAGTATATGCGAACTTGTCGAGGGTTTCTTCCTGATTTAGAGTATTGGAACCAAAAGCACATTGCTTCAGTGTCTGCATCCCAACTTTGAATCTCATCCCAGGTAAAGTTGTGTTCTTGATCCTTTATTAAAATAGATTATTGGAGGTAAAATCATAAGAAAATCTTTTTAAAGTGAGAATCTTTTTTAAAAGATTTTCAATGGTGTGAATTTTTTTTTTTAATTAAAATCACAGGTAAAAATCTTTTTTTAAAAATGAAAGTAATATTGAACTATTTATTCTAAATCAAATTCTTTAAATATTTTTTCCAATAAAGAATATAATTTGAGGTAATTATTTTTTTTTATAAATATCTAATAAAATATAAAGAATCTCTTTATTCAATTGTATTTATTTATTGTATAAATATAAAAGTATAATTTTTATTTAATTAAATGCTACATAAATTTTATCAATGACTAAAAAAATTAGGCCAGGTAACGTTTAACGCTGAGACCTTAATCAAAACCATAAAATAATTAAAAAAAACTAAAATGGTATAACAAAAGTTTCATTTAAATTCTAAAAAAAATAATTAAAATTAATATAGTAAAGCAAACATTTTATTTAAATTTTAAATAAAATAGTAAAAATAAAAATAACGACAAAAAAAAAAAAAATAAGTTAAACCTAAATTCTAAATAAAATGATTAAATTAAAAACAGCAAAACGAACAATTTATTTTAAGATCTAAATAAATAATTTATACACCATTTTTTGTCAAAGTATTTGATGACAAAAAAGATTAGTTGCAATGTAAAAAAAAAAACTGTATTTTTATGGCAATCTTTAATATTTAATGAAATAATTACTTCAGTATATTTAATAAAACACTAACGCAGCCTGTTTTTTAGAGCTTGTGTGTTTTTATCATATTGTTATTTCTTTGAAGAAATTAATACTGCTGCATTTATGACTTTTACTTAAATAAATTTATATTAAATACTACCAGTTATATTTTTACTCTAGCCATTTTTTTTTACAAAACTCTTTTTTTACTAAACCCTCCACCTCCATAAATGGTATTAATTTGGAACTGAAATGTTAAATACAAACATAAAATTTTGTTTGCAAAAATTTTTTTTGAAGCATTAAAAATTTTTTTTATTTAAAAAAAATTATTTTATATAAAATTGAAGCATTAAAATTTTTATTTTAATTTCAAAAGGAAGTCATTTAAAACCATTTAAAATAATAAACTAACTTTCAACTTGCTTTAAAAAAAAAAATCATTTGCTTTTTTATTAGACATCAGGAGGCTTTAATTGAATAATATATATGTCAACGTACTCATAATGTAATTATCAATATTTTGAATAGGTTATCTAAAACACTTTTTTTAAAAAGATTGAAAACATAATGAAATTTATGCCATTATTCTTACTTTTATTATTTTTGAATTTTTTTTTTCTCTTTTTGAAAAAAACTGCCTGGTGAGGATTTTGAGATTTCAGAAATTAATAATTGTAAAGATTGGCACACTTAAATGTGCGGGTATATCGATATATATATAGATACACACACTTGTACAGATACATCTGTGAGCTAAAAACTTTTATAAGTAAACAGTAAAAAAAAAAGTTATATTGTTAACTATTATTTATTTTTATTTATTGTATAAAAATAAAAACCTCTTTAACACCATCCGAAGTACAAGCAACCATTGTGAGATTTTTCAAAGAAAGCCGAAGAATGACATGCCCCTCTTTGCGAGCATCACATTCACAATGAGGGAAGACAATATCTCCATAACCATCTAGTGTCCGTGCCACCTCAAGAAACTAAAAATTTAATATAAAAACAAAATAAATGAAAAAAGTCTAATAACCTATTAAATGGTTGCTTTTTTTTTTGATTGCATTTGCTGACATTAAAGTAAAAATTTATTTCTCTGCAATAAAATATTAATAGGCAAATTATATATGAAAAATTGTATATAAACCAATACAACTGTAAAAGGAACTAAGCTATCTCCATTTCAATAAAAGAAAATACTTTTAGTTTGATTAGATAGCATTCTTTAAGATTACATACCTAAAAAAGTTTAAAAAAAATATGAATGTCTGCGTGAAAATTGCAGCAGACAATGCAGAGATGTACATGACAGCACAAATCACCTAAAATATTACAAAAAACAAAGCTTGGGTGAAAATAATTTTATGAAAAAAATACTCATCAGCAATTGAACATAAGTTAAGCTAATGCATTGTGCTAATAATCAAGAGCATTAATTACTTTGAAAAGTTGTAATTAATGAAATTTGATTTTTTAGTATAGCATAGTATATATTTACTGCAAGAAAGTAACTCCTGGAACAGAGCATGAATGCAAGCGCTTCTATTTGCAGTGTAAGCAGGTATTTACATTCATTATTCATCCAATTATTCTTTAATTAATTTTTTAATTATATAGTACATATTAAGGGATATTAAATTTTTTTATATCTAAAAACCTATTGCAATGGATTTTAAAAAGTTAGAAAAAGCTTGTAGAAGTTAGATAATTTTATGGCTGATTTCAAATAATTGGGTTTGCAAGTATTTACGGTCTAGTATTTACTGTGTATAATTTTTTTAGTTTGATAGTTTGTTGCAACTTTTTATCCATCATAAAGTGTTAGCTTTTGATGCAATTTCAGAAATATATATATATATATATATATATATATATATATATATATATATATATATATATATATATATATATATATGTATATATATATATATGCTATTTACTAACTAGAAAGTCAAGTAATTTGTGAATGAGCTTAAAATTTCAATTGGTAGCCTCTTGAGCCTGTTTAGAAAACATAGCTAGTGGAAGAGTAAATAATTCAATAACTTCATAGCTATCAACAAAAATCTTATGAAGTGCTTAAATCACAGTTTCCAAGGTTACAGGTCTACATTAAGCGAGCAGTTTCTAAACAGAATATTCTTTTGATGAGTTAACATTGTAACTACATAACATTGAGGCCAGAATAATATGGAGCTTTTTCATAAGATCTACATCCATGTTTAATATAATAGGCGAGACATCACAATGCTGAAAAAATCCTCAAGCTGTATTACCATAGTTTAATGTACTCGCCCCACTTACTCTTAGTTAGTCAATGAAAAAACCCATCTTTTTTAGAAATTTAGCTTGGACTTTAACTTTTATGCTTAGATATATAATATTGTTAAGCTGAGAAAGGTCAACCTTTCTCAGCATAAAATTTTTTTCGTCTTCAGTCTTGCTATTTTATAATTGGCATCTTGTAAGATATATGGAGCATACATTCTAAAAACGTTATCTAAGCATCAAAGTTGAAGTCCAAGCTAAATTTCTAAAAAAGATGGGACTTTTCATTGACTAACCATGAGTAAGTGAGGCAAGTACATTAAATACCTTTTAATTTAGTTATACAAAACAAATTCTCTAATAGTATACTGCTTTAAAAAGGAAATACAAATGCTTCCTTTAAGATAAGCACCAAAATGATTTCATTTTTAAGATTAGCACCAACATGAACTTTCCAAAATGAAAAAATATAGCATAAAAATATAGATTTCTGATGTTATGAATATATATATATATATATATATATATATATATATATATATATATATATATATATATATATATATATATATATAAAATATTTAATTTCCATTGTGCTTTCCAATCAAACTTTATTCAAATATCTTGTAAAGTTAATTTAAATGGAGTTGACAAATGAGCCATTGGATTGGTCTATGAAGTTTTTGTTTCTATTAGTTTTATTACTCCTTCCAAACTTACCACATTTATATCACATAAGATAGCATTTAAAAAACCACTACTGCCAGTTTCAAATACTAAATGGAGAATTTCATCAGAGATGTGGTGAGAAGTTCCATTATCAGGTGTTAGATGATCTAAACAGCTACTGCTTGGTTCTCTAACTATTGAAATATGTTCTTCTTTAACTGCTCCTGTAGTTGTTATTGTATTGTCTTTTCTTTTATCAAAACATGCATTGTAATTTTAAATTTTCAAATTTTCTCCTACTTACATTTTTTTGTCCAACACAAAGTCTTTCTTGTTCTACTTTTTTCCTATTAAGCTATATTTGATTCATTTAGTATTACCATGTCTTTTAGAGCAGCATTACCAATGGCAGTAGTTGCTCTGCAACTGACTCGATAACAATGGCCACTTCATGGCCAGCTTATAGTAAAAAATCCTATTTAGATTACATTTGTTTAAGAAACAGAAAATAAGATTCATGTTTGTCATTTTCATTATTAGATTCATCATTTGGCCCAACTAACACATCCCATTCTTTATTGACACTTTAAAAGTACATCTGCATTTCTCTCATATTACCCCTGCATCATAACAATTGCAAACATATATTAACAACTTTTTCAAAAGCTTTTAAATTGGCATAGTAATTGACATTTCTTTAAAGTCTAGAAATTTTATTTAAATTGCTTTTTCCATTAATCTACATACTTCTGTTTTGATTGTTGGAAAACTAAATTGACGTTATATATCTTCAGTTTCTGTTGTAACTAATCGATAACATTTATGAGAAGAACTTGACTTTTTACCTTCGGCGTTTTTGGTCTGCGTACATAAGGGCAATATTATCTCTTTTTGTAGGTACCATTGCTGTTAAAAATTAAGAATCTTGCCCAAATGTTGTCAGTATTACTGGGAGTATAAAATGCTGCCATATATGAGTTGCTTTTTATTAATCGTATACTATTTTATTTCTAAGAAATAAAATACATATATTTATACTATAAAATATGTAACAAATATTAAGGCTAAAAAAAATTTAATGAAATAAAATTAAAACTTACTGCAACATGTACAAATTGTTCCAAATTAACATGAATTTTATTATAGCAAAGTAATATTGCTCAAACTAATATAGGACATAAAATCCAATATTAAAATTATAAAAATAAAATATTAAATAAAAACTTAAAAATTAGTATTACATGAATTAAATAAAATTGTTAAAAGATCAGCATGACCCATTTTAAAATTTTTAACTTCATGCGAAAATTGTGGTGTATGATGCAACCCTTGGGGTGTGCGAAGAATAACAAAAAAAAAGATTGCTGCCCCATGCTAAACCCTAAGATGATGTTGCAGCAGCAGGCTATAAGGTAGTTGATGTATGTACTGGAGCCCCTGGCAGCAGGCTATTTCAGTGTGACGTAACAGTGCTTATCTAAACTTGCAGTTATAATTGTATATGCATGTATGTATATATATACATATAAATACACACACACACACACACACACACACAGATATATATATATATATATATATATATATATATATGTATATAAATAAATACTTACAGGTATTTTATTATTTGTACTATTATATTCTTTTATTTTCTGAATTTTATTTTCTGGTTTAATAAGACCTTTTCGAATATCTGATGCAGCTTGATAGTATAATAAATTCAAAGCCACTGGATCATTACACATTTCAATTTCCTAAATAAAAAACAAAAATTTTATAATTATCCATACTTAACTCTAATGAGGCAAAAAGTATATGACAAATAAAAATTTTATGCTTCCATTTTTATGTTAGTAAAAAGCTCTCATTTTTATATTAGAAAAAACATGTTTAAAAAAAAAAAAGTTTGTTTTAACATTTTAAACTTGAGTTAAAAACATTTTAAAAACTGAACTTTATGTTTACTGATTAAGAGATAAACAAAATCAGAAATTCTTGTTATAATTTTTTTCTGCACTTTTACCTCAAACTGTTTAAAGATATACACAACATAATTAATATCAATATATAATAAATAATGTAGCACATCATTAACACGTTAATTATTTTTGATACCAAGTTACAAGCAATACTCATAATCAGCGAGACAAAATGAATGATATTTCATTTTTTGATGGTAAATCATCACACATTTGCAAGAATGTCAAGCAAATATTTCCCTGACCACCAATATTATAAAATTATTTTATCAAAGTTTATAAAAATTTTTTTTATCAAAGTGAATAGCTAGTGAATAACCTCAGATTATTAATATTTTTGAAAAATGCTTGAAATTTATAATTAAAGAGTAGACTTAAAAGATATACTTAAAAAAAAACAGAACAATGTGGTATAATAAAGAATAAGTTATTTTGATAAAATAAATTAATACTCTTGTTAATGTGAAAACCCATTTTCGAAATGCAAGTTTTGTTTCTCCTGACTCAACAACTGATCTTTGATAAATACTATATGGAAATTCGGAAGACTCAAGTTTACGCTCTAAACAAAGAGAAAAAAGTCATCATTTTTTTTTAAATTCAATTATACATAGACCATGTTGATGACAATGATGATAATGATGATAACAATGATGATGTTGTTAATTATGATAATGACGATGATGATGATGATGATGATGATGATGATGATGATGATGATGATGATGATGATGATGATGATAATGACAATGATAATTTTAAGAAGTATAAATTTCAAAATAGGTAAGAAAACAGCAAAAATTACCAAAATCATTCTCCATGATTTGGAACAGAGCAAAAAAGGTTGCACTATAATCAGACAATCCAAGCTTTTTTACCACACACTGAAACAAAAGACCAAATAAAAAATAAGTCAATAAAAATAAATACAGAAAAATAAAATTAATCAAAATAATATGTAATAAAATTAAAAAAAAAAATCAAAATTACTCAACTTTAAAACAAATATCTTTTGTTAAAACTATTTTTACCTCATATATTTGCTCAGTTTTTTGTTTTTTATTAGGGAGGAATACTGATAATATTGTCTTGTCAGGTAAATTGATTTTGATTTCTTTTTCATTAGAATCAATTTTTTGATTTACTCCACTTTGATTTTGAGAGTTATATCTCTAAAATATTATATTATATTATATCTCTAAAAAAACAATAACTATACAAAGTTTTATTATCAAATCTTATTAAGAAAAACATAATTTAAGAACTTTCAGAATCAGAACTATAAAGATTATGATACATATATACATATAAATAACACACAAGGAATCAAAAAACTAAGAAAATGATATATATAAATAACACATAAAGACTCAAAAAAACTAGAAAAAATGATTCATATAAATAACACACAATGACTCAAAAAAACTAAAAAAATGATAGATTCTTGAACTTTTATAAATTTTATCTTACCTCTTGTTATATTTTCTAAACATTTTAGTAAAATAAAGACTCTTTGACTGTAACCCTGTTCTAACCATGAACATTCATTCATGGTTAAAATAAGTTGACTCTTTGACTCCATTTTGGAACATCTTATTACAAATTTTGAATAAATAAACTTACAATGTATTAGTTGAATACATGTTTTAAATGCTTAACTTAATAAACTTTTTAAATATATTGTCACTACTGATTACAGGCACTACTAATTTACTGTTGCAACTGATTTTGATGCAAATGTTGCATGATTTTGTAATAGTACAATATTTAAACTAGAATGCTAGCATTTTAAATTGACAAAAACTCAGGCTTACAAAACAGCTAAATATAGCCACTCATTTTATCACTGTGAAGCAAAAACTAAATTCTTTGAAATACTCTCTAAAATATTCAAATGAAAAAAAAGGTAAAAAAAATTGCGCAGCACTAACAACCCTTTCACTAACTTTTAAATAAGATAAAATTATCTTATATAAAAATATTACTTAAAAAAGAAAACTAATAGCTAAAATAATTCAACTATAAAAGTACTGGAAATTAAAATAATTTAACTAGAAAATGTACTAGAAATCAAAAAAATTATTTAACCTGTGTGTGCTCTTCAAGTAAAAACTTTTCCATGATATCTGATTCATATATTTCACGTATTGCAGTAACTGAACAGTATTATAAAAATATCATAAAATAATTGCTATGAAAATAAAAAATTGTCATAACAAAGTATTATAACAGTAATAAAAAAATAAATAAAAAATGATACAAAATTATTAAAAACTATTTTTAATTTTTTTTAATTCATTAAATATTTTATTAAACTTTTTTTGGCATATGTGACACAAAAACTATTGGATTCTAAAATAAATATGTATGATACCAGATGAAAGTATTGGATCCTAGACAAAAATATGTAAGTAAATAAAGATATTTAGCAGTTTTTAAAATGATGATGCTTTATACTAAATGAAAACCTGCATTATTTCAAATATAAAAGCTTTAAAAGTAGATTTTGTTTGTAATAGGATGTATAATAAAATATGTATATATATAATAAAAGAAGAATGGCCAGCAGCAGTTGTCATTGCAATGTATAGAGTTGTCATTGCATATGTCGCTACAATCAATGCGGTAGTGGTGTAGTGGTAAAACACTCGCTTCATAAGCGAGAGGTTCGAAGTTCAATCTCCACCACGTCCCTGGTAGTACCGCACTCAACTTGTTTCTCCGCGCAGCGGCCTTGTTCGTCAAGGTTCGTGTTTCGGAGTTATAGAGTTGAGAGAGGGTTATAACCACTATTAAGTAGCCTCCTCGTCTGTAATGGCCTTCTCGGCCTTGAGGAGGTGAATAAAAAAAAAAAAAAAAAAAAAATCACAACAAAAGATGAAGAAAAAGATAATTTAAAAAAGATTTTAGTGTACATCAAGGTTTAGTGTTCAGTCTTGTTTTTATTATCCATTTGGAAGCTCTTTCTAGAGAGCTTAGCATTGCTGGTGCTAAGCTCTCTAGAGAGCTTAGCACCAGCAATTCAATACAGATAATTTATGCTTGATTGTAGAGACAGAAAATGAATTATTAATACGATTTATTAATAAGTTTGTGGAAACAGAAAAAGATTATATTGATAAGAAGCAAAATCTATTGTGCAATGGATTCACAACAGTTAGTAGTATACAATACTCTTAATATTGTTGGTTAGGAGTGTAAAAAATATCATTTTATTGAACACCAAAAGAAGAAAAAATTAAAATAAACAGTTGTGTTTATACAAGAGGAAGGTGTGCCTGAACAGTGTACAAAAACCCCTCCAAACAGCAAGAGGTGCTTAATTTAATGATGATGATGTAAGATTAATATCTTCATATTTTATAAAATATAATATTTAATGTTTCTTTGATAAAAAAAATTTGGCAAACTTTTGTAAATACATAAAAGATTACCATATAAAGTATTGATACTTTTTACGAATTGAAATGGACTCACCATCTTCTATATATACTTCAAGTCCTCGACGTCTACTATCCAACTGTTGATCAGATAGTTTCAGTGGCCATTTTGTAGGAAGTTTTGGAAATGGATAATCTGTAAATTTTTTTTTCAACTAAAGTTTATAAAAAATAATGTAAGATATATACATATACATATATGCATATATATATATATATATATATATATATATATATATATATATATATATATATATATATATATATATATATATATATATATATATATATATATATATATATATATATATATATATATATATGTATACATATATACAAACACATATCAAGCCAGGAAAGGTGTGCAGCTTTTTGTCTTGTATGACCACACGCAAGTATTTTATTTTAGACAAATTGAACACGGCCATTTGCAAATTTTAAAATAATCAATGCTGAAAAAGTTTCAAAAACAAAAAAAACAAAACTAACAAAATAAAAAGAGATTAAAATAGAAAAAAATAAAAACAAATTAACAATTTAAATAATTTGTGTATTGTTTTTATTTTTGTTTCTTTAAAGTGGTTGTTACATTAAGCAACAAAATTAGATAAGGCGAAGCTAAAAAAAAAACAGTCTACAATAAAAGAATGATTTTCCTTTTCTTAACTTTTTTTTTTTAAAGAGGATAGCAAAAATATAAATTGCAATGTGTTTGTAAAATATATTTGTATAATTTTAATGTAACAACCATGGTTGAATTAAGCAAATGCGAAATGCAAAATCTGTAAAAAGATCTAGTATTCAAAACTTTAGTTTATACAAAACCGTGTTCCTTGTTTTTAAGGGGAGAATCAGCTTAAATTTGTAAGCGAAAAAATACAAAATAAAATAATCAACTTACAATAATAAAAGTAATAATACTCTAGTCATTAACTGCATTGCAAAAGTAATAACACTATAATAGTGTTATTACTTTTATAACGCACTTATAACTTTTAAAATTCAGTAGAAAAATATCTAGAAGCAGGCCTTTTTACGAGATGTAACTTTAAATGTAACTTTACTCAATAAAATATTTACATTGTAAAAAGTTAAATTACGTCAGTTGCATTTTTACTTCATTGTAATTAAATTTAAAATGACATTAAAAACTAATGTTAGTCTTTGAAACAAAATAGCTTTAAATTGAACAATATTGTTATAAAAAAAAAACTAAAGTTTTAATGTTGATTAAAAAAAAGTCTTCTTGTATTGAAATCTTATACTTATTTAAACATAATTTTTTTGCTATCAAACATTCGTTTTATGGTTATTTTTTTTTTTTAAATATATATTTTTTAATAATTTAAATTTAACACTTGTTTATGGTTGATTTTCTTAAAGGGATTTAAATGTACTTAAAACTAAACGCATAGATTGGGTTTTCCCCTTTTTAAAAAAACGTTTGCACTAACTGGTTTTGATAAAATAAATATTGTAAAGAAACGAAATTTACTGCTGTTCGGCTTTGTTCTTTTTTTATTTCCATTAAAATATTTTATTTTTATGTATAGTGAAACCTAATGTGTTTTTACTATTTTTTTACTCAATCCAAAAAAAAAAAAAAAAAAGTGTTTTCAGTTTTAAGATGTTATAAGCAGAATTTGTTTTTAACAAATATCATTATAATTTTGAAATTTATTTAACTTATATTAATAACTATTTTTGTTTTTAAAAAAAAATAAATATAAGTTGGGCTTTTAAAGAGTTTATTTACTGATCGCGTTATTTTTAATAGGTTTGAATTTTGGTTTGTTTTATAAAAAAAATTCTTTGGCAAACGGCTAAGGGAAAACCCAAACATAACATTTATAACTTGAGTTTAAAAGAACTTTTTTGTTTTGACGTTATTAACTTGTAGTTATAAAATGAATAATGCGCTTCTGCAAATAATGAATGAAACTCTAAAATAATGGAAAAATAAAAACTGGAAAATAATGCGCTTTTGTTCAGCGCATTATTTAGACCAGTATTTGGAACTGGAACATACCTGAAACTTAACTGAAATTAAAATAAAGTTATATGTAATACGAACATTTTAAAGTTACTTGAATTAAATTTATTAAATCTTTTTTTACTTTGGAAATTTTATCATAAAAAAAAAATTGTAAAACGGAGCATTTTAAAATTAAAGAAATTTTAAAATGCTCTGTTTTAAAATTAAATAAAAGAATTTTAATTAAATTTAATAAATTTATTTACTAAAAACTATGATTAATAAAAAAATATTTAAATTTAATGAAATAAATTGAATTTTTTTTTTTTTTTTTTTAATTTGAATGTTTTTAAACTTATGAAATTTAAAACTTAATATTAAATATGATAAAAAGTTTAAACTAAAAACACTTATTTTTTTTAACAACAACAACAATAAAAATAATTAAAAAAATTTTTCTTTAACAAAAAATCTATTAGTTTACAATTGCAGTTAAATGCTTTTACTTACGACTTAATTTTCCTTAGAATAAACGTCACAAAAACGATATCAAATGATAATTTAAATATTCTAAAAGATTAAAGTTTTTGCGTAACCCAAAACTGCTGAACGCATAGGCAAATCGCCTTTTCGCAGGTAAAATGCGAGCTGCGTAACAATTCTTAACAAGGCCTGAGAAGAATAAAGTGGATGTTCAAATAATATTTAAAACTTAAACAACTTATAAAAACGCGACAAACAACTTTATAAAAATGTATTGTATTAAAAGTGTAGCATTATGAAAAACGTTACTAATGGACCGCAAAACGCGCGTAAATTTCAAAATTAACCAATAAAAATTTTTTATTGGTTGATTTTAAAATTAATGCACGTTTTTACGTAACGTTTTTCATAATGCTATACTTTTTATAAAGTACTTTTTTATAACGTCGTTTAAGTGATCTGTGAAAGTTCCTGAAATTTATATTAATATTTGAATATCCGATTTATTTTTTTTAGATGCTTTTCTACTTTAATAAATGTTTGGAATTAATAATGTTGTTTGAACAAAGGATGAACTTTAAAAGTAATAAGTGCTTTATAAATGTAATAACAGTATTATAGTTTTATTACTTATGTTTTGTTTTATGTAACTTTCTCGCTAGCAAACTTTTGATAATTTGCTCCTTATAAACAAAGTACACAGTTTTGCATGAACTAAAATTTTAAAAACCTAATATTTTAACAGAGTTTAAATTCGCAATCTATAATTTAACCCTTGGTATATACTTGTTACTTTATAATTATACAAATATATTTTACAAACAGATGACGATACATATTTTCTCTTTCCTCTTTAAAAGAAAAAACACATAAAATATAGGAAATTCATCCTTTTTAACGCTTAAAAGCATTTTTTTTTGCTTTGACTTACTGAATTTTGTTGCCGATAATAATAATCACTAAGAAAAAACAAAATTAAAAAACAACACACAAATTATTTAAACTATTATTATTGTTTTCTATTTAAGTTTAATTTAATTTCTTATGTAGTTATTAAATTTAAAATTTTTTTCAGCAAAGCATATAATAAAACTTGCGCAAATGACCATGATCAAGTTGTGTAAATTAAAAAACGTTTTCGTGGACGTACGAGACGAAAAACCGCACACCTTTCCTGGGAAGGCTTGCATATATACATATATCTATATGTATAAATACATACATATATATATATACATATATATATATATATATATATATATATATATATATATATATATATATATATATATATATATATATATAGATAGATATATACACATATATGTATGTATCTAAATCTATGTATACATACATATATATGTATGTGTATATATACACATATATACATATATATATGTGAGTGTATATATATATATATATATATATATATATATATATATATATAAATATATATAACCCTCAGAATTAGGAAAAATGAATTCAGCAATAATTTGCCGACCTTAATTTTTAAAAGTCAGCATCAGGTTGGCAAAAGAAAAAAAAAAAAAATGGTGCATAGGTCTTACCATAAAAATAAGAAATGAAGTCGCCAATTTTTCGCTGACCTCATTTTTTCAAAACTTTATTTATACATATACATATATACATATATATATATATATATATATATATATATATATATATATATATATATATATATATATATATATATATATATATATATATATATATATATATATATATATACATATATATATATATACAAATAGTATTGCGTACTAAGGTAAGCAATCTGACGTCATACTGAAATAGCCTGGGGCTTCAGTACATACATCGCTTTGATGGGGGCTTCAGTACATACATCAACTGACAAATAGCCTGACTCGCAGTGGAGTGCTGCTACATCGACTGAAGGTTTGGGATGGGGCAGCAATCGTTTTATTCAAAACACGCTTTAGTAAGTGTGTGTGTGTGTGTGTGTGTGTGTGTGTGTGTGTGTGTGTGTGTGTGTGTGTGTGTGTGTGTGTGTGTGTGTGTGTGTGTATATATATATATATATATATATATATATATATATATATATATATATATATATATATATATATATATAGGCCTTCTCAGGAGACGCGTGCGGTCGCACACCTTGAATGACCACGCATATATATTTTTTTGTTGATAACATGGTCATGAATTTTTTTGCATGTTTTAAAAATGACGCATTTTGAAAACGCGCTGAAAAAATCAAACTAATTAGTCATCTAATTGTCTTTTTTTTAGTTATTAATAATTTATTATCATAATTATTTATGAGAAAATAAAAACCTAACATTAATGCACATATATATATTTGTAATTAATGACAAAATAAAAAGATAAAAATAATATATATATATATATATATATATATATATATATATATATATATATATATATATATATATATATATATATATATATATATATATATATATATATGTATTTATTTGTTTTCATGCATTTAATAAAATTCTGGCGATTTTTCGTTAAGTTTTTGTTTACTAAATGAATTACATCATTAAGTAATTATTATTTCTTCCTATTGGCTTATTATTGGCTTCCTGTTGACAAGGTTTTAACTGAAACTTTTTATATTAGGAGAATTAAAAAAAAACTTTTTTTTTTATATGTATTAAAATTATTTATTTTATTGTGTTT